TTAGAATCAATTACGATTCTTTAAGTCTGATAACTTAGATTCTAAGTCGTCATACGTACAATTCATAGTGGAAATTCTTTGACTCGGGTTTTGTTGACATTCTTGACTCACACCAGGTAAGTTTTGCCACGAAGGTATGTTTTCCAATGTCCAAAAGACCTCAAAGGTTAAAAAACTCAGAAACAGGGGAGCATCTTACCTCAGACATTTATTTCTGATTTTTTAAATACAATAATTTACTAATTAATTAATAATTGCTTGCTAGGCATATTTTTTACAATAACAATAATAATAATAATAATAATAATAATAATAATAATAATCAGAAATTAGTTTCATATTGTTTTTAATATTCAATTTTGATTGCAATTTACTGTTATTTTCTTATTTTTAAACATTAATTATTGAAAATGATGAAAAATTAGTGTAATTTATTGTTATTTAATATTTAATTTTCATTGTATTTACTGTTATTTCCTTATTTTTAATCGTTAATTATTGAAATTTATCAGAAATTGGTGAAATTTATTGTTATTTAATATTAAGTTGTTTTATTGTAATTTACTGTTATTGTCTGATATTTAAACATTATTTTTTGAAAATTATAAAAAATTAGTATAAATTATTTAATATTTAATATTTAATATTTCACTGTATTGTACTATTATTTTCTTATTTTTAATCATTAATTATTGAAAATTATCAAAAGTTGGTGTAATTTATTATTATTATTTAATTTTTATTTTTTATTGTAATTTAATGTTATTTTGTGTGAAATAATAAAAAATAAGTGTAATTTATTATTACTTAATATTTAGTTTCTTAATGTAATTTACTCTTATTTTCTGATTTTAATAATTAAATGTTGAAAATTATCATAAATTAGTGTAAAATTATAACAAGTTATTGTCATTTATTGTTATTTAATATTTAATTAGTTATTGTAATTTACTGTTATTTTTTGAATTTTAATTATTAAATATTGCATATTATCACATGGCAACGTAAGAGACGCTTAATAGCAGCACCTCAGAGGCTCCCAGTGACAGCACGACCTGAGGTACCCCAAGGTCCCCAACAGCAGTTGAGCTACGACAAGCCCAAACTTGGTTACGTGTTTAAAGACACGTGTCCAACCAAGCATACCTTTGACGTCAAAGGCACACATCCGACTTCAACTTCACACATAACCGCTAATTGCCACTTGGCAGAACAGACACCCCACTTCCCCTCTTTGCGAGGAAGTGGGCCCCGAGCACTTTCCAAGCGTTCAGAACGCCGATCCACATAATCACCCCACCACCTATGGTGAACACGACTTCACATCTGCGCCCCACAATGTCCCACAGCGCATCTCCTCCGTCTATTGGAAACATCTCCCAATGAGTGTACCAGACCCGAGATGTTCCCAATACAAGGTGGGGATGCGCTGTGGAACGTTGTGGGGCACAGATCTGAACTCGGTGAATACCACTCCTTGCAATAATTTTGAAAGAAACAGATGGCACACGGGGATAGATTTTAGCTTTCCAAAATTTCACCAAAAGGCCCATTCCCCATAGGGTCCGAGTGTAGTAGGCACGTTAGGTAAGTACAATGAGTGAGCACGTAATAACTGTGTGACACATCTCTTAGTTAATGTGCATTTTATCCAAACGTTTTTGTTCAGTTAAACAGAAATTATCCATTATTGTATTATCTTTGTCAAAATAACTAAAAATAAAAAACAATGAAAAAGAAAAACATAAATAAGTCCCAACTCCTAACACGTTTAGGTTTTCTTTTACACTATTTTTATTTTTAATTATTTTGACAAAGATAATACAATAATGGATGATTTCTATTTAACAAAACAAAAAATCACTGTTTTCAAAACCGGACCAGACCGGATGGTTGGACCGGAAAAACCGGTTGCCGGTCACCTAACCGGTTCCGTTTTCCTTCAAAACCGCCTTTTTCTCCAAAATCGTTGATTTTGGTCAGCAAACCACTGAACCGGCTAGTTAACTGTTCGAACGATTTTGATCGTTTTCAAATTTTTAAAATTTTTTTGTTAGAACGGGTCAGCTGTTCGGGTCGAACGGTCAGACTATTCGAATTGATAACCGGACCCCTGACCGGTTCATTTTTAAAAACCATGAAAAATGTTTGGATGAAATGCACATTAACTGAGAGATGTATCATACAACTATTACGTGCTCACTCATTGTGTTTACCTAACGTGCCTACTACATAGGGACCCGTTCCACACCTCTAGAAAACCTTACATCACTAACATCATGTAGCAAGATATAAATAATAGTGAATTGTCCACCTCGTCCCTTCATCCAAAGCCACTCATCCCCCAGCATAGTCAGTCTAGAAATTCTCCATGTATGACTGCGACAAACGTGAATATCTTTTAGGAAAGAGAGCTTTCTAACAGGTCTTCATTCCACTCTCGAGTCGAGAGTGTGTAAGCAGTTCACTTACAAGTTTCACACCCAAATTCTCATTTCTTAGAGAGTTAGCGAGTGTAAATTCATGTACTTCAAGAATTCATGGGTCCCCCCAATACTAGATCTAAGTAGTCCTCCCTAGAACCAGGAAGAAGACTCCCTAACTGCTGGTGCTTTGAAGAAGGTGTTATGTTTACAGTATTTGGTTTTAAGCAATTATTGGACCCACGCCGCATCCTCCTCTGTAAGAATTCTCCACCCCACCTTACACAATAAAGCATCATTAACATATTTTAACCTGCGAAGTCCTAATCCTCCAGCATTCCTAGGGGAGCAAGCTTTCTTCCACACCAAATCCCTACCAAACGTATTATTTCCATGGAAAAAAAAAAAAATTCTTTCATTAATTTTCAATGCTTTCACAAGTAGCCACTGGTAATGAGTGAACGGACATGATGTAGGAAGGTAGAACCGAGACCACACTTTTAATAAATACAGTTGGGCCCATTTGGGACAGTGAGTTGGCTTTCGATCCACTTAATCTTGAATATTGAACTCGATCCACACCACCTCCTTATACACCATACGCTTATTTATTCCAACAAACATCGACATACCCAAATATTTCTCCTTGCTACCCAGTCTTTGCACTCTCAAACTCTTTGGCCTTTGCAATGTCTAGAAGAAATATTTTTGCTAAAATAAATACCTGATTTAGAACTCCTGAGTCCTGACCGGAGCAAGCCCCAAATTCCTCTAAAATCTTAACCACTGTATCTACCTCCCTCAAAGCTGTTGGACCGAACAAAAGTTTTTTAAGTCATCCGCGAAAAGCAAATGAGACACTGCCGGACAACCCCTCCCAACCCAGACTCCATGTAACTCCCCTTTTTCCACTTTCTTCTGTAACATCAAAGATAGTGGGTTTATCCCCAATATAAAAAGGAAGGGTGACAATGGGTCTCCTTGTCGCAGCCCAGGGCTAGGAGTGAATTGAATAGAATCTTCTCCATTGACACAATCACCGCAAACTGGGTTGTAGAGATACACATCTTCACTAGCTTTCTCGTTCATCAAATCCATTATCTTCCATCACCTCCATACGCCTTAGACATGTCTACCTATAGAGAAAACACACCATGCTTGCCTTTTTTTTCTTTTCATATAATGCAAACTTTCTCGTCCAACTATAACATGTCTACCTATGGAGAAATTAATTTATGAATCATCATTACGTAGGCTAATAGGCCTAAAATGAGCAACTGTTTCTGGACATTTAACCTTAGGAATAACAACTATATTTGTGAAATTAACTTCTGGTAACATCTCATCCCCAAAGAATAATGATTGAATAAAAGAAACCACATCTTGTTCAATAATCGACCAACATTTATGGAAAAATGATGCAGACATACCATCAGGTCCGGGAGCCTTTAACTCACCAATTTGAAATGCAACGTCACGTATCTCCTCTGTTGTAGGGACCCTAGTCAATGCCTCATTATCTTCGATAGAAATAAGTGACTGTAGCAGTTCTCTAATTGTAGGAGACATAATAGGTTGTAAACAGGAAAACAATTCTGAGAAATATTTCACAAATAATTCTTGCATCTCCTTTATATCCTCTGCTCCACCCCATCTTCCTTTTTTAAGCGTGTGATATTCAGTCTTCTTCTATTTACTATCGTGGAAAGATGAAAAAACTTCGTGTTGTGATCACCTTCCCGCAACCACAACCCCCTTGATTTTTGTTTCCAAAATGATTCCTCCCACGCCAACAATTCATCCATTTGCACTGGCAAGTTCTTTTGCTTTGTGCTAAACCTCCTCACTTGGGTAGAGTTGTTGAACTTCAGCCACCTTCCTATGTAACTCCTGGAAATTTATTTCCTCAAAATGTGCTTTTGGAAAAGGAAATCATTGATTAAGATATTTATATTGGAAAATAAAAGATTATCATTTTTGAAATTTTGGAAAAGGAAATTATTGATTAATATATTTTGAGAAATAAAAAGATAAATTAGTGTAATTTTGTCAATAGATTATTTGATAACAATTCAAAAATATATTTCAATGATATTTTTTGTAAACTATTTAAAAGGAAAATAAATTATTTAATAACATTTCAAAACTAAATTTCAAAATTACACAAATGTAATAAACTTTCCAAAGTTTTCATAAAATTACATTATGGAAAGTTAAAGATAATTTAGTGTACTTTTGGAAATTGAAAAATTTGTGTAATTTTCATTGTAAATTATTGAAAATAAATTTTGACATTTTCAGGAAATTATTTTGGAAAACTATAATTTGAACCAATAATTAAACAAACTATTTTTGGTACATAAATTAGTATATCCTTTTGATCATTTTTTTTCATCAATTTGGACATAGGATTTTCCCGGATCCCCACTAGTTTTGTATATATAACAGAATTTGTAAATAGGAGAAATTTGATCACTTGTATTGTAAAAAAGCCCATTTTTTTAATAATCAGGACTCGATCAATATATAAAATTAGGAAGAATATGATTATAGTTTATACTATACACGCAACAGAAGAAAAGAAAAGAATTCCCATCCTTTTATTGAATTATTACTTGATCCGAAATAATAATCATCACAAAATACACATTTCTGCTGAACCAAATTTAAAAAGAAAACTCCAACAGAATTAAAAATTTAAATTTAACCACCCTGTTCCCTCATTCATCAACACAACTTAATTAATTAATTAATTAATATTATTAATATTATTATTATTATATTATATAGAAGCAAAAAACGTTGATAACAGATGATAATGAAAATTCTGAATTTCCTTTTTCAGAAATTTGATTTGAATGGTGATTTATTAATTATTAGTGGTCTGGGTATAGAGGTGCATGGGCAAACGGGGCTTAGCAAACGCGCGTAGCGGTTTAGCCAGGAAAAGATCATTTGTGGATTCAGAGAGGTCGATTTGGGACAGCCCAGGCGGAACTTGCCAGCTGAACCCCTGAAGGAGCCTAGCCAACAGCATCACCGTCATGGCTGACCCGAGCGCCGCACCCATGCATCCACGCCTCCCCGTGCTAAATGAGATGAAGCGCAGATCCGGTTCAACCAATTCCACCTCTGCTGCTGTTGCTTCTGCTCTGCCATTGTCCAACTGCAAGTGGCGTTCGGGCTTGAACCGGAGTGGTTCATCCCAAACTTTAGGGTTTCGGCCCAGACCGATTCGACTCAGCAGCACGTGGCTACCCTTAGGGATGAAGTAACCGGCAACCGTGCTGTCGGCGTTAGACACGTGAGGCAGGTTAAAAGGGGCAATGGGGTGAAGACGGAAGGCTTCCCGAGCACATGCCTTGACGTAATTGAGGCGTGGGAAATCTGATTCTTGAACCAGTCTCAAGTTTCCAACCACACTATCGATTTCCTCAACAGCTTTCCTAAGAATCTCAGGTTGGTTGATCATCTCCGCCAACGCCCATTCCACTGCATTTGATGGATTGTCCACTGCCGCGTAGATCAAGTCCTGTAACACGTCATCAATTAATTACTATATCTCATTTACCATCATCCCTTTTTTTTTTTATCGTTAACTAATTAAACATACGTATGTTAAAATTTAAATACTCTAGCAGCTACCTCACAATATTAAAGAGAAGACAGAGTTTATACTTTATAGCGCAGCACTCATTTTCTTTCTGAGCCTAAGAAAATAAAAACAAAATTTTTTTTTTCTTAAAACATAAAAAAGAAGTGAAGAAATTGATGGGCCAACCCGAACCATGAGGTTGAGTAAGGATTAATTAATTTGGGGGGTTCACAAAACCTGAAATGGGTTAGGGAGGGTATGACCCCGATCTGAGCTAATTAATTGAGACCCGACTTGTACCTCTACTGGTAACTGGATCATGATAGATGATTTTTACAAATAAACACGGGGTTAGACAGAACGGTGGATTCATTAATTCCACACTTCATTAACAAGTAACAACGCAAGACCATTTTACAACCATCAAGGGGTTATGGAAGCCTACCAAATAATTGGCTTAAAAAAGTCTACCAAATGTACACTATTATTATATACACAGAAATAACAATAAAGATAAAAGAAAAAAAATTCAATTAATATAATTGTTTCCCTTAAACAATTCCCAAAGTTTATGTATTCAATTTTTATGATGAGTATTAATTTTGATTGGTAGACAAGACTCTTAGATGGTATTTTATAGTGGGTTTAGTTTTTTAGATGCCAAAGATATCTTCTCCTACCCAGGAAGATGAGGAAAAGAAACTAAAGGTGGGCGAGATTAGGGTTGAAGGTCATACCTATACAGCTTAGGCTTGTTCATGCCTAAACTCTTAGTTGGTCTCCAGACTGAGATCAGTTATTGGCGATTAGAAAGAAGAAAACATAAGCTCTAACCCAAAGAGTCAAGTTCGGTTTTGCTCGATCACCAAATTATGGGTTTTCTTTTAACATAATCGGCCAGCACATGGTTTCTAATTTCTATTAATTTTACCAAACACCTTGAAATTTTCATTTCATTCCAGAGTATTGAATTTAGAAAACTCTAGATTTCTTCCTGCTAAAATAATAATTTTGGACAAACTGGCAATTTGTTTTTGCTGAAATTTCAGTGCACATTCGGTACATATTTTAGCTCAAATTAATATACAAAAATACTTATTTTCAATATTTCTAAAAGAGTTTTTGGATAAAGTTTCAATTTTCTTTGCTGAATTTCCAGTGCAGTTCGGGTAAAATTTTTAGCTCATTAAATGAACAAAATATATAAGCATACTTAATTTAAATATATAAATATAAAGTGTTTTTTAATTGGAAAATACTAGATTTCATGCTGCTAAATGAATTCTTAATAATCATATTTCTTTGCAGACATTTCAGTGCAGTTAGGGGAAAAAATTTAGACCAAATTACTAAGAAAAATACAAACGTACTTATTTCTAAAAGGTTTCAAATAGAAATTAAACACTAGATTTTGCTGAATTTTCAGCACACATTCGGGAAAATTTTTACTCCAGTTAATAAAATAATGAAATGAAGATAAAATGTATAAACGCAACCGCTTTAAATATTTCTGAAGGATTTTTGCTGAAGTAAATGAATTATAAAAAGGTATAAATATTTTACTTATATATTAATATATAGCTTCATAATTAATGGAGTAATTATAATGACATACCAAAGAAAGCAAATATGTGTATGTATGTATACATTCAATTTTGCGGAAACAATTATAATTTTGGAAACTATGATCCGTTCATGCATCTTCAAAGCTAGCTAGGATTTTTAATCTTTTCAACTCTCACGCATGCATGCATGATTGCAATTTCATCTCAAGAATATATAACTAGGTTTGAACATTGAAGAATGAAAATTAAAAGATGAAGAGGATGGGGGTAACGGCTATATATATATTAAGTTAAAACACTAATATGTATATGTATCTTACCGCAGTCTGCGCTTTGATTTCTTCACTTGATAGCAATGGTTTTCCATCAGTGTCCTTGGCGGAAATGAGGACATCGAGGAGGTCTTGAGGTTCTTTCTTGGTGGCGGAAGAAAAAACATCTTTGCCACAACCTCTCCATTTCTTAATTCTGTCATCAATAATGGGGTCATGGTATTTGTTAACAATACGAATAGCCTTCTTCATGATCTTCTCATGGCCATTCAAATCCAACCATCTCAGGCAAGGCATGTAGTCTGATACACAAAACGCATAGAGAAGTGAAAGCACGGTGAAGAGAGCATCGACATGTTCTATTTCTTCGGCACCAGGACCTCCGTCCGGGCTTCCTTGGCCGAAATATCTCTTGTTGAACATCATCTTCCGAATGACATTCCCGCTATATTGTCGAACGGCAACCCTAACGTCGACGACTCCACCAGCAGCACGAGCAGCCATGGTACCGTTGAGCTTGGAGTTGGAGGAGTTGCATTGGTTAAAGATGTAGCGAATGAGATTATCGGCCTCCTCAACTCTCTTGTCGAGGAGCCAGCGGAGTCTGGCAGGAGTGATTACCTCAGAAGCCACCACCCTCCTCATCTTCTTCCATTGGTCGCCCCAGGGTGCAACGGCAATGGACAAGAAGCCACGGCTGGAGTACTGAGTTCCCATGGTGATGGGCCTGGATGCAAACAGTGCATCCTGTTTCTTCAAGAACTCTCGAGCAATCTCAGGGCAATTAACGGGGATTATATGAACATTACCCAGCCTAATGCAAGCGATATTTGCATTCAATTCCTTCATAAGACCTAATATCCATCTAAAGGAAGGCTTGTTGATGAACAACTCGGGAAGGTTGCCGACGATTGGCCAGGGTAGAGGGCCAGGAGGGAGTGGAGGGGCGGCAGCAGGGCTAAACTTCTTGTGGGTTTCAGATCGAAGTTGGAGGAGTAAGAAGAAGAGAGATGCCAAGAGTAAGAGTGCAGTGGTGGAAAGGGTGGTGGAGCCGAAGAGTATTCCGGAAAGGCCGGTAAAAGCCGCATCAGCGGCGTCGGTGCCCCATCGTAGAGCGAGTAGTGAGGATGTGGCGTTCGTCTTGGCTGTCATGGGGGGTGGGTGCGTGTAGAAATTGGGAAGTAGTCTGTGATAACTGATAGATAATTAAGATGGACGGAATTTAAGTGAGTAGTTGTAGACGACGAGGAGTGGAGTACTCAGTACTGGAGACTCTCTTTGTTGTCTTAACTCTTAAGAGGGAGTTGGTGGAACGTGGAATATATATACCACTCAACTCTAGGGGAGTTGAAGTAACGGAGAGATGGAGAAACGTACACGGACTTCACGTGAGAGAAAATATTGCATGTGAGGACCCCATATATACTGGATTCCTCTCCTAATTCATAGCTTTTGCTTTTATTTATTCTTTTCCTTCAGGGGTGCACGTGAGGCCCACCCACCAGCCATACCACGGAGAACCTGATGGTTTGATCAACTCTAACTCTCAAATTGACAACAACCATCACTACATTAGGACATGGGCGATTCTGCCCCGGGTAGAAAAGTTAATGGAGTGATGATTTGTTTTGGAATATTAAATCCGGTTTTTACCGTTTATACTTTATACAGCTTAATATTTCTACATATATATATATATATATACACACCGAGAGAGATGGCAGGGTATTATTGTTTTCAAAACATGAAAATTTGACTAATATCTTCTTTTTATTTTAAATAAAAAAAAAGGTTGGGAGTGGGGGAGGGGGTTTGGTCAGGTCATATCATTTGATGATGATGCATTTTCTCCAAAAACATTTGAAGGCCGGATTATTCCATGGGACTTCATATTTTGTTTGGCAGCGTCAGAGCTTTGCATGGCACTTGGCGCGTGAAATCCGTGGGGGGTTTCTACTTTCTATGGTGTGCTCTCTCGCGCTTTTGTCCAAATAAACATTTAACAATAGTATATATATATATATATATCCTCTTCTATTTATATATATATATATATATATATATATATATATATATATATATATATATGTTATTCTTTTCTTTTGATTTCTATCAGGGAAGAAACGAACTTTATCCTAAATTCTTAGGTAAGGTTTTAAATATCGATATATATGTTGGTAGAGATGTATTGGACAATATCATTATTGTTTTTTTTTTCTTTTTTCTTTTTTTTTTTTTTAATTCGATTTAGAGGGACTGACTTAAAGTTTTTTCACCCCTGAGCCGGTTAAAACTCTGATACACCTTTTGTAGGACCATATCCGAATGCTCTCGATATGATTATATCAACTGATATGTAACAAAATTTTGAACCTTCTTTTAAGGCATGCAGATACTATTATACTTTTGTCTATAGTAAAAATCTTTATACCAAAAACTAAAGAGTATATATATATAGATAGAGATAGAGAGAGAGAGAATTGGAGAAGATTAATCGGTGCCTGTGTCTTGATGTGTCAAATACTTGTTGTTGTTGCCCACAGACTTCGCGAGGGATTTTCTTTGTTTTTCATGGGATGATCGCAAATAAATAACGACATTATGAAACCGCTATTATATATCGTTCTTACCAAATATATGTCGGGATCTACTGCACTTATCCTTCACTCCATACAGTCTGTGTGATGGGCCTTAGAGACTCAGCCTGAATCTGATTTTCTTTTTTTTTTTTCTTTTCTTTTTTTAAGTAGACCCAACATTATCAAGTAAGCTAAGGGGGTGTTTTCCAACGCGAATCATTTTTCTTGTTACAAGTATCAAAAGTAAAATAAATTAAAATGAGTAATTAATTTTAAAATAAATAGAAAATATATGCTTAATTGGTTATATATATATATATGCTCTTTGTTTCTATTATTAAAACCAAAACATGTTATTGAATTTCTCGTTTAATTAAAATCATGTTTTCATTTGATTATTTAATATCATGTTTCATAAATTATAGAATTTTTCAAAGCAAAAAAAAAATCATATAATTTTTAATTTTCTATACTACAATATTTCTTATTGTTTAAAAAACCCTTATGTCACATTTTGCTTTTTCCAAATAAAAATCATAGTTGAAGAACACTTTTTTTTTCTGTTTTTCTTGCTAATGTCACATTTTCAAAAATAAAAGAAAACAAAAGCACTCAAACCCTTATACAAGGGGGTGTTCCACAACATACAAAAACAACTGCTATATAAGCAAAAGCAATACAAATTTGCTGATGTGATAGTTGTTTTTGTTTTCAGAAAAACAAGACTAACATGTTGTCAAACACTCTCTAAATTTACAAATACATGCACAAATATACACTATCATAACATCTGGAAAAATATAATTGCAGGTATAATAGGGTTCGGGTTGTAATTTTCCAACCCCAACTCAATTTAGCTTTCTTAGCCCAACCCAAGTTGCACCTTTATGTTTTTGGTTCATATGAATAGAATGAAACTACTTATAAGTTATAACTAAGTGACTTCCCTCTCAACCTTCTCTTTCTCTCTCATTTTCTATCAAACCAAACACAGCCTCTATCAAACCAAACACAGCCTGCCTAGGTAAGATTGCTCTGATTGTAGCTGAGATTTGAGTTAAAATCCCACCTGCACATCCCCAGCCGTGTAGCTTCATCGAGCCAAAAAAAAAAAAAAAGAAAAAGAAAAAGAAAAAGGAAGAAGAAAAGAAATGACAGGAAAATTTAAGAACAGTATAATTGAAAAAAAAAAGTCATTGTCTTAGATGGTTTATCGAGTCAAAATTTTCCAAACCTGGTTGTCAAGGTTGAAAACTTAATTTGAACAAGTTTGGTAGAGTAATGCATGCTATTTTTGTACACAATTCTAAGAAAAACATTTTAAAGTTGGATGCCATTTTTCTGTTTTCTATTTTTTTAAGTGATTAGAGTGCATCCAATTTATATGTTTTTTTGTGTTATTTTATTGACCTATTGTACATAATATACTCTTATTATGTATAGAAAAATAGGGAAAATCTATGATACCGGAAACACATCATATACCAAAAAAGCTTTGATCAATCACAGGCCCATAAATTTTGGTGAAAATCCACCTGATTGGTTCCTACTTTATATTACCGGTTGCAAGTTTTTTAAGGTATCATGTCTTTCTAGCATCATAGCCGAACCATGAAAAATCAAGACTCAGAAATTCATGATCATTGCATGTGTGTATATCAGAGAGAAGATGCTGATTTTATGTTGCGCATTTCAATTTCCAATTCCTAGAAGATAATTCTCTGTGTTTGGTCGGATTGTCATGGTCATGGATGGCCACAATTCGATAATCTGATCAAGACATCTTGATTGTCATCCATCAACGAGGAGGTTTCTCTTTTGTTTTCTTGCCAAGGAATCAAGCTTAAGGGGGTGATGATAACAAGCTGCGTGATTTTGTATTTGTACTCCTTCCAAACTGAGCTTTAAAATTTGTACTACCAATGATTACATATAAGATTTAAAAAGAAATGAAAATTTTGTATCAGATAAGAATACAAATAACGAATGAATGCAAAACTGAATCTGATGCAAAATGTCTATCTGATTCAGATTTGGAATACAAGCAAATTAAACGGAGCCCAAGAGGATAGAACCGAGGTTGGAATTTAACTAATCTGTACTCAAAAACCTACATTTTATAGCTAACATGCCTTTGAAACCAACTTTGACATGTAAGGGATCCTCTTTTTATTTTTTTTTCCTGATAATTTTTACTAAAACCCACACTATACTTTGGGTTTTACTACAACCACCATGGGAGTGGGAGCCCATGCCCTTAAACACTTTCTACTGGATTTATTTCTAAATGACAATACAAACGGTTTTTAACGGAAAATCGATTAAATAAATCAGTTGCAATGTAAATAGCTTATTTTAGTAAAATGCAAAAACTATAAGATAATTTTTAGTAAATCTAAAAATAAATGGTGTTTTAGTAAATGACCTTTTTTTTTATCTTTTTGATTATTGAACAATAAAGATTGCTTAGGTAATAAAAAGTTTGTGGCCACACTTCAGTTAGATATTCAATGCTTATAAACAGCACAATAAGCAATTAGGAACAAGCATCCCCACTACTAGGGGTGTCAATGGACCAGTTTTGGATTGGACCTCATCCAAACCAAAATCAATTTAGATGGATTGGATGGACCAACAAGATATTGAATTGGACCAGTCCAGATCTAATGGTCTAAAGTCAAACTCTAAAGTATTTATTGGATTGGACCTGGTCCGTCCATAATAAATTTGTATTGGATTGAGTCAATATCTGGTCCATTGATAAAAGATAAGAATATAGGTGTCAATGGACCAGGTTTGGATTAGAATTAATTTATATTAAAACAAATTTGAATATATTAAATAGTCCAAAATATCCATTGAATTGGATTGGACCTGGTCCATTTGTAATGGACTCACATCAGATTGGACCGAATCCAGTCCAATTAACAGTCCTACCCACCAGGCCACCAGTCCGCCAAGACTCAGTCAAATTGATCCAGTTTTGAAATGGGATTGCTAGTTGCTACGGGTGTGCGTGGACGTCATTTGGATTGGGTCAAATGAAGTTTAGGTTCCACTTATTATATAATGGCCTCCACAAACAATTTTAAATTTGGCTCATGGGCCTTAGTGATGAGCCCTATCTCAACCTTAAGGATTTCCCTGAAACCCAGGCCCAGTTTATTAAGATTTAGGACTGATCCTCCTTGCATGGTTACATTACATAACCATCGCTGTTGGCTTTGGCAGGTTAAGGACCATAGCAGCAAGCCGGCAAGCCAAAACGCTGATATTCTTTAGTTTTTTAGATTATGTTTGGTTTGAAGGAAAAGGTAAGAAAAGAAAAGAAACGGCAGAGAAATCTGTACAAGTTTCATAAAGGTTTTTTTAATTTTCTTTTCCTTTCCCTACCTTTTCCTTCAAACCAAACACAGCCTGAGGGTAAAATACGTATACTTACGATGTTTCTAACAAATGCTTAAACCTTCCTGACTTTTATCAGCTGCAAAAACCTCCCTGATTCTTTGGGGTAAAGTATACTTACTGACCCCTTCCTTCCGTTAATTCCAGTTGGCATAGAGAGTAAAAATTCCCAAGTACCCTTTTTTATCTGACAGAAGAGTTAAAACGTTTTAGTACCAAAGTTGCCCTTCTTTGATTATTTTTCCATTTCTTCTAAAACCACTCTTACCTACATGTAGATGGAATGAGCATTAAAAA